CCATGTATATTGTAATGGAGTCATAAGTCTCTCTTGTAAGTCTCTAAGACTTGCTTTATGAATCTGTTGCTCCTTAATGGTCAATATATAAGTTACGATCATTAGGCCTCTTCCCTGATGAATTATCCTTTCACCATTATTAATGGCTTGTCTCTTTTTATTCTTGAGGTTTTTAAATTTTTTACTCAAGACTAATGCCATACCCCTGCTTTTCTTGTTTCACATTTGCTTGGTAATCCCCCTCCACTCCCTTTATTCTTGAGCCTATTGCATGTTTCCCCTTGCATACATGGTCTCCTGAAATACACAAACTACGGATCTTGACTCTTCCTTTATCCAGTTTGCCAGTCTGTGTCTTTTAATTGGACCATTTAGTCCATTTACATTTAAGGTTAATATTGTTATGTGTGAACTTGATCCTGTCATTATGATGTTAGCTGGTTATTTTGTTCGCTAGTTGATGCAGTTTCTTCCTAGCATTGATGGACTTTATATTTTGACATGTTTTTGCAATGGCTGGTACCTGTTGTTCCTTTCCACGTTTAGTGCTTCCTTCAGGATCTCTTGTAGCGCAGGCCTGGTGGTGACAAAATCTCTAAGCATTTGCTTGTCTGTAAAGGATTTTATTTCTCCTTCACTTATGAAACTTAGTTTGGCTGGATATGAAATTCTGGGTTGAAAATTCTTTACTTTAAGAATGTTGAATATTGGCCCCCACTCTCTTCTGGCTTGGAGAGTTTCTGCCGAGAGATCTGCTGTTAGTCTGATGGGCTTCCCTTTGTGTGTAACCCTTCGTGTGCAGCCTCAGCCTCCCAAAATGCTGGGATTTATTAAAGTCTTTTTATTTCCCTTGAATTAATCAGTTAAGGATTGGGATGGTATGTTCTAGTCTCCATAACAAATGTATTTCTCTGACCTCTCCCCACACTACCAGAAGCTTTCAATGCTCTGGAATTTGATGATTGACAGTTTGCACCTACTATATTTTCACTATAGGTGTATTTTTTGGTAACATAAAATTATTGCCTTTATTCCATTTTAATGCTTCTCTCCTTAAATTCTCTTTTCTCTGAAATTGATATTGTAAGCACCAGTATTACAGGGTTTGTATGATATACCTCTGATTGTTCTTTAACTTTTACCTTTTAAGTAATCTAGAAAAATTTCATTTCTATTTCTATATATGTATATATGGGCATAGTATATAAATGTAGGCAAATGAATTGGCATATATAAATGTATATGCAAATATAAATGTATATACATACATATATACATACATGTATTTATTATCTACATATGTAAACTACATATATCTTTGTAGTATATAATTCTATCTTCATTTCATAGTCCTATATATTCTAACATTTTTAAGAGTTTCAGTTTTTAACTCAACCTTTTAAACTCTTCTGGTATTTGTGAATGTTTATCTTACTGGGATTAGCCTTTTTCTTTAATGTTAAGTCTTATCTAAGATATTTTTGGACTGTTAGCTTTACAGGCATTTTATTTTCCTTTTCCTTATAATTAAAAGATATCATGATAGGTACAAATGGGAACGGTAGAAAGACTTCAAAAACAGGAGAAGATGGACAACTTCTACAGGCATCCACGTATCTCTTCTTCAGTGAGTTTTCTAGTCCACTTACCTCCAAAAACCATCCTGGGAGTCAAAATCCCCAGGAATCATAACCATGCTACACTTGGGCACAACTGAATGATACACCTGATTTCTCTTATTATTCAGCCTGTATAAGAAACTATGTTTTCAAATCTATGGTCAGTTCCTTTCAGGTTAAGCAAATTCAGACGACCACCTGGCACCTTATTCAATTTAAAGCTGATTATCAACAAATTTTAAGCTGCCTTAAATGTTATATGTATCACTCTGCTTTTCTCTAGATTCCATTATTAAGCCTCTGATATGAAAACACGAGATACAAAGTCCCTAGGGATTTTCTGTACCCCAAACTGTTTAAAAGCTCTCTCTCTGGTAAGCTCTAATCTTTGCTCTCCTGTTTACTTTTATCAATTTGAGATTAGTCTGAAGGTAGGGTTCTCTCAACTTTTTAAGCATCCATTGTTTACATCTCTTTACAAATTTAGTGGTTTCCAAGACTAGATAGTTTACTTGATTAATGACAAACCTGAGCTTCTCAGGTTCCTCTACAAGCAGCAAAGCAGGTTCTCAGGCACAACTCTTCTGTGGGTGACCGCAGTTTCTCACTGACAAGAAAACTCAAAGCTATTTGAGACTTTGGTTGACATAGTCACAAATTATTTGATTAGATGAAAAAATTAGAATGAAAGTAACATTAGACACACCTGCCTTATTTTGGGATGGAGGTGGGTGGGGTTGGAGGGAAGCTATTGTTGTATGTATCTCCCTGCTTTTCTTTCTCAGTCCCTCAAATACACTAAAACAACTCTGAGCACTATTTAATCTTTATTTGATCATTTAAAAGGATGTTCTGAGATCATGGATCGCTACTATAGGTATACCCAGAATCTGGTGCTAGAGAAAAATAAATGTGTAAGAGTTAGCTAACTGTCACGATGATGAACTAGTAAGGCAAAATGGATGCAAAAATTCAGACTTTTTTTTGTATTTCAAGTCACATAAATTAATAGTAATTAAGTAAATTATGGATGAAACTAAAGTCATGCACACATACATCAGCTGAAAACAACAGGAAAGGACTGAGACTGTTTTTTGTATATTTGCTCAATGTTTTGAGAAGAAGCTAGAATACCAAGTGAGTTTTTATATCTATAAAGAAGAAAGAAAACTAAAATGAAGCCTGTTGGTAGGTCCATACCATTTTCATACATTCTAGGGGAGAAGGTAGTAAACAAAGTTTCTGCAACCATGAGTGATGCTTAGAGGAAAATTAAGTCACTGAATGATGCCAGGACTGATTATTCTACTGAACTTTAAAAGCAAGAGATTGCAGTCTCTGAGTCCAAAGTGGTTTCATATGAACTACCACAGTTGTGGTTTACTCTTGAAACTATAACCTATCAAATTAGAAGCAGGCAAGGCCTATGCTCTTAACGGTTCCACTTTCTACTGTCCCAGTTAAGTTATGTCTACAAGCCCAGTGTATTTTTTTTCAGTTAAACTGTTATTTGGATGAGTAGAATACAAAAGCTACTGTTATGTTGGCCAGAGAAGATTTTTGTTATGATATAAAGCTTAACGAAGTTGCGAGTCTTATGTTTATAGTACATATGAAGACTTTCACTGTAACTATTTTTATCAACTTCTGATATTTTATTATCCTGGTTACCAGTATGTAATACATAACTATAAAGAAGAAGTGTACAGACTGCATGAGTACCCAAGCTTTTTCTACCCTGCATCTCCAGATATTTTATTGACTTTAGAACCCTGCTGACACCCATTTTTCTAGGTCTACAGTAGCCTGCTATTATAGAGCTACAAAACGTTCCATTTCTTCTCTTCTTGATTGTGGAATGCCCTTTCAGGAAACAGGTTTGGCTAGCCAAGATTTTCCCATCAAAACTGAAAAGTTAGCTGCTCAATTTTACTAATGCTTTAAGTATTATGCTTTATTCCTTAAGGAACCTTTCTCAGTGGCCATTTTTATAATATAAAAATATTTAAAAAATAAAGCATAAACAGTATTTGCTCTTTAAGTAATGCATCATAAGTGAAACCATGCCACTAAACAACCATATCCTGTTTGGGCAATGATGACATCAGAAATACATGTTTATCATCTGCTTTGGACAACTTAGCATGTTTTTGGCCCAAGGCAAAGTTGAACTAAAACCATTTGCAGTTGTCCCAAACCAAGATAACCACACATTTCTAAAGTAATTGATACCTAAAAGAACACTGCCTTTAGATCACAGTGCATGATCTAAACATGCTAATTCTTTAAAGGTTGTTGAAGTTTATAAAGCATATATATCTACTGGACCTCCTCCAAAGCTTAACATAAAATAATTATATTTTCAGCATGCATAGAAACTATAATAAAGTTGGCACTTAGCACAATCTTTCGTAATTCTGAAATTACTTCTCTTGCCCAACTGAAAGAGAAGGGGAAAATGGAGATTCCTTATATGTGAAAGTATGATAATAGCAATATGAACTGTGAAAATACTGTCTTATAATTTGGAAGGCACTGAAATGAAACAAACCATTTTACTTTAATTTTTTCCTTTAGTGTTTAAAGAAATAATAATTTTATGTATAGATAGCTACGGTAAATAGAAGACATATAATTTTCAAATTAATTGTTAAGACATATCCAGGGAATCCAAATAAATGTCACTAACTTTGTCTTGCAGTGATATAAAGCATGTAATTGGCCTGGGTACTACCCTAGCTAGTAAGTCCAATCACAGTCTGCAACTATAGCCAGAAGAATAGCTCTTCACACTATATATGCCAGCATAAAAGCAATATGAATTAGTTTTGTTTACAAATAAAACTGGATGATTTGAAACAAAAAAGGTAAATATTTAATTAGAAGTAAGCTTAATAAAATAAAATCAGTAAATGTCAGATCGAGAGTAGGGAAACCTACTCATTTTTAAAAAAAGGAAATAAGGAAAGGAAAACAGAAGTCATTTCCCAAAGTTGATCCTGAAGGTAGATCTGACTCCCACTTCAGGGGTGATCATGATCCTCTGCACATCACTACTGTCAGACATAAAACCACTGACTTAGAGATTTCAGACAACATTTAAAGAACATGAGAATAGAACCAAATAGCATAGGCACTGCAGTGGTTGTTCTATTTCTGTAAAAAGGGAAGAATGTACTATACCTCCATTCTTTCTTGTTTAACTTCATCAACTTCGTCATCTTCAAACATTGCTAAAAGTTCTCCTGTCTGGTCAATAGAGTTGAGGAAGTCCTGAGCAATTTTTTGTCTTTTGTTCGTATTATTGCTGCCACTCAATTTGTCTTCATGAAGTCAAGGGAAAGAAAAAAAGAAATGTTCTCAATAGGTTTACATTGGCACTAATTATTACATGTATTAAATATAGTATACCAAATTCAGAATTGGAATTCTCTGAAAATAATCTTAAAAAAAATTCTTGCATCTAAAATAAAAGTCATACAGAATTAAATCATTTATTCATGTCACAAATTAGACTGAGAGGATAGAACCAAATGATCAATTACCAAAATAAGTGTGAAAGGGCTAATTAAATCCCTTATAAAAAGCAGAGAGTGGTGTGCTCAGATTTGGAAAAAGAATATTGCTCTACAGTTAAATACCTCTGAAATGAAATGACAATACAAAAAATGATGAGTAAGGATATGCTAGGCAAATACAAGCTAAGAAAGCAGAACTGGTAACATTAACATTAGAAAATACAGTTCAAGACCAAAAACACTAAAGGAGGCAGGGTGAAATAGTATCTAATAATAAAAGGAATTTTAAATAGCCATAAACTTTTTTGTACCAAAATAATAGCAAAATGAATAACTTTACAAAGGAAATCTTAATAAAAAGCACAATTACTGTGAGATATCCGAATATATTTTTCAAAATTTGACAACTTAAGGTTACAGAAGATTTAAAAAATATTTATCTCTAAGCACATTAACAACTATATACATATAAGAATCTATATTATTCTCTTAGGTCCATAGATCATTTTTCTTCATTTTTGTCATTTCTTTTAAATTTCTACATCAAAAAGTTTTATAAATATCTATAAATTAAAATATATTAAAATGATACCACATATCATTTTTGCTTGATTGTTCTTTCCCATTTCCTTCCCTTTTATATGATCAAACTCCAACTAAAGATCCTGTAACTCATATTACTACTACCCAATATGTATTCTTGATGCTCATATATCCATAAAAATACATTCATTTATAGAGCTGTTTTATTCATTTATGCTTTTTAGAAAAGGGTTCTTATGATATTCCTTCTATTTCTTTCTTGTCTTGCACTTCATGTTTTTTTGTCAATTATGGAGAAAAATTCCTCCAAGTCAACGGTAAAGCCCTGATTCTTTAATGGTTGTGTAATATTTGACAGTGTATACGCACCACAGCTTTCCAGCCAATCCCCTATTGATGGGCATAAACTTTGTTTCAGGTTTTTGCTACCCCGGGGAAATGCTGTAATAAACATCCCATCCATATGGCATTCTGTGTGGTTGGCTTAATGTTTATGGTATAGATTCATAAGGATGGAACTACTGAGTTAAAAGGTACAAACATTTTAATGGAGGTTAAGAGATTGTTTACCAGTGCATTAACCCTTCAAGTTTCCAAGAGTAATGAGGAATGCTTTTCCTCTCCATGAGAAAAGTCTAATAAATGTAAAGTGATATGTCATTGTGATTAAAATATTTAATTTCCCTAATGAATCTAAACATTTTTTCCCCATATGTTTGCCAGCTATCTGAATAAGTCTTTCTGTTAATTGTCTGTTTTTATCCTTTGCCCATTTTCAACTGGGTTGTCTTTTTCTTAACAATTTAAAGGGCTCTTTTATATTACCCCTTTGTTATCTGAGTTAAAAATGTTTACCCTAGTCTTTCATTTGCCTATGAATTTTAAAGCATCTTTTGCCATTAAAAAATTTAAAATTTGCCAGGTATAGTGGCTCATGCCTGTAACCCCAGCACTTTGGGAGGCCGAGGCAGGCAGATCACCTGAGGTCAGGAGTTTGAGACCAGTCTGACCAACATGGAGAAACCCCATCTCTACTAAAAATACAAAATTAGCCGGGCGTGGTGGCACATGCCTGTAATCCCAGCTACTCGGGAGGCTGAGGCAGGAGAATTGCTTGAACCCAGGAGACGGAGGCAGCAGTGAGCCGAGATCACTCCATTGCACTCCAGCCTGGGCAACAAGAGCAAAACTCCATCTCAAAAAAAAAAAAAAAAAAAAAATTTCTATATTGTCAAATAAGTTCATCTTTTTTTCTTATAACTTTTGTTTGAGATGACTTCTCTCCACTCACACAGATGGAATGGATCCTATCAGATATCTATTCTTATTTAAATCTGTAAAGGTTCACTTTGTGGCCAATTTTACAATTAAGTTTTGTAAATGTTCTGTAGATATACTGAAAAAAAATTCATAGACATTCTATTCCAGATAAATACAGGTCTAAGCATATCTTGCTATTTTGCTGATTTACTATTTAGTGCTTATGGGTCTATTATGTTAAAAATTGTGTCTTCTATAATTATTCCTCTTTATCCTGTTTTTTTATTATTATTATTCCCCTTTATCCTTCTATAACACATTCCTCTTTACCCTGTTTGGGCTTTTAATGTTAAATTATAGCTTGCATGATGCTAATATTGCCACTTCTGCTTTCTTTGCATTTGTGTATGCATTTATCTACCATTTATTTCTTCATCCCATTATTTATAACCTTTCGTTATCTTCAAGTTTTATTTTTGTGGTTGTTTATAATCTGTCTCAATGTAAGAATTTAATCCATTTCATAATTAGTGCAATGACCAATATATTTCATTTTTATTATTTTCTCTTGCTTTATGTTTGGTATTTATTTCATATTCTTTTTTCCTTTTCTTCATTTTTAGTGATTTGGCCATGTTGACAGTCCCTCTATGTCTTCTCATTGTTAATTTGAAATCGTAATATACTTTTCTATTCTGTTAATGTTTACCATCCCTTTTTCCATTTTCTTTAATGTTTACCTCGCTCTTTTCTGGTTGGACACATTGCTTGAACATATTTTAAATGACAGTTTCCATTATTATTTAAAACAAGGTATCAATTATACCCCTACCAAGAGGTAACGTTTTCCCAATAAATCAACTTTTTCTTCTAATATTTCCCCCTTTCCAGTATCAAGAGACCTTCAGAACACTTTCATTTTCCCTATCTCAAGTGATCCATCTGCTTCAGCCTCCTAAAGTGCTGGGATTACTTATAGGCATGATTTTTAAGTATCTTTTTCAGTGTCTATTGTCCATTAGTCAATCTTCTTTGTAGAAATGTCTATTCAGACCCTTTGCCCATTTTTAAATTGGGTCACCTGTCTTTTTATTGTTGAGTTGTACCTATTCTTGATATATTCTATACAAAAGTACCCTATCAGATACATAAGAAAAATTTTCTCCTATTCTGTGGTTTGTCTTTTCACTTTCTTGATGTTGCTCTTTGAAACATAAAAGTTTTAAAATTGATCAGTTAATTTATTGGTCATTGTTTTGACTCTGAAACAACTGATCAAGTCCAATTTTTCTATTTTTTTTCTTTTGCTGTTTGTGCTTTTGGTGTCATACATTCAGAATGCTTTGCCTCATCCAAAGTCATCAACATTTATTCTTGTATTTCTTTTTAAGAATTTTATAGGTTTGAGCCCTTATATTTAGGTCTATGATCCATATTGGGTTAACTTTGTGTACTGTGTTGTTGTAGGTGTCCAAATTATTTCTTTTGTATGTGGATATCCAGTTGCTCCAGCAGTATTTGTCAAAATGGCTATGTTTTCCCTATCAAATTCTCTTGAAATCCTTGTCAATATCGATTGACCCTAAATGCTTATTACTGAACTCTCATTCCACTCCATTTCATTGACGAATATGTCTACCCTTATGCCAGTACTGCTCCATTGTAATTATTGTAGCTTTATGGTAAGTTTTGAAATCAGTAAGCATGAGTCCTCTGACTTTATTCTGTTAAGATTGTTCTAGGTATTCTAGTTCCTTCATGACCTAGATGAGTCATTTCCATGTCAGAATCTGGCATTTCTATATGATTGGTAGAATCAGTGTAGTCATGATTCATAGAATCAGTGTATTCATTTCTACAAAAAAGCAGATGAAATCTGTAGGCCAAGTTGGAGAGTATTAACATTTTGATAATATTCAATGTTCCATTCCATGAACATAGGATGTCTTTCCATTACCATCGAGGCCTTATTTCAACAATATTTTATAGTTTTCAGTACATAAATCTTGTAAGTCTTTAGTAATTTTATTCCAAAATATTTTATTCTTTTTGATGCTATTGTAAATGGCATTGTTTTCTTAATTTCATTTTTGAGCTGTTCATTGCTGATATATTAAAATATGCTTGATTTTTGTATATTTCTCTTCTATCCAGCAAACGCATCAAACCAGTCTATTAGTTGTAATAGTTTTTATTGATTTCTTAGAATTTTCTATACACAAAATTATGTCATCTATAAACAGAGATAGTTTAACTTTTTTTTTTTCTAATCTGGATGCCCTTCACTTCTCTTTCTGACTAAATACCGGGCTAAAACCTTCAGTACAATATTGCATGTAAGGGCATGAATGGACATCTTTGTCTTGTTCCTGATCTTGTAAGGGAAAGCATACAGTCTTTTACCATTAAGTATGATGTTAGGTGTGGGTTTTCCATATATGTCTGTCTTAGCTCAGGCTGCTACAACAAATACATCATAAACTGGGAGGCTTAAACAACAAACATTTCTCACAGTTCTGGAGGTTGGGAAGTCTAAAATAGAGGTGCCAGTAGATTTAGTGTCTGGTGAAGGCCTGCTTCATGACTTACAGATGACCATGACCTTGTTGTATCCACATATGGTGGACAGCAGAAACAGAGGAAACAACCTTTCTTGTGTTGCTTCTCAAAAGTGCCCTAATCAAAAAGATTCCATCCTTATGACCTAATTATTAATACTTCCCACAATTCTCACCTCCAAATACTACCACACTGGGAATTAGGCTTCAACATATATATTTAGAGGGTAAGGAGGGACACAAACATTTAGTCCATGCAATCACCTTTATCAAGTTAAAGAGGTTTCCTTTTCTTCCTAGTTTGTTGAATGTTCCTTTCATTAAAAACTTTTAGAATTTTGTTAAATGCTTTTCTTACATTTATTGAGGTGATCATGTGATTTTTCTCCTTTATTATATTAATCTGATGCATTACATGAATTGTTTTCTACGTTTAAAACAACCTATATCCCTGTGATAAGTCCCATTTGGTCATGGTTTTAATCCTTTCTATATTTGCTGAATTCAGTTTAATGGCATTCTGTTGAGGATTTTTGCATCTGTATTTAAAAAGATACCAATCCGTGTTTTTTTTTTCTTGTGATATCTTTGTCTGGTTTTCTTATCAGGCTCAATCTTTATTACCTTTATAGAATTAGTTGGGAAATAATTGGTATTCTTCTTTGAACATTTGGTGGAATTCAACAGTGAAATAACCTATGACTGAGCTTTCCTCTGTGGAAATTTTTAAGCTACCAATTTAACCTTTGGCCATTGTCCTGTTCAGATATTCCATTCCTTCTTGATTCAGTTTCAGTGGTTTGTGTCTTTATAGTAGACCAACTATATATTTATATAGTTTGTTATAGTAACCATTTGATTTGACACTTCTGATTCTTTTCATTTCTTTCTATAACTTGAGGTGCCATTTCCTTACCCCAGTACAGCATTATTACCACTTACATAATTTGTGTTGTTACTGTTATTATATTTCCAAATGTTACAGACCCAACATCACAATTTTTATATACATATAGTTTTATACAGTTGCTTTATAAATCAGTTTTAAAAAGGAAAGGAAATATACAATTATACTATCTCTTATATTTATGTACTTAATTATCTTTATAAATGTGTGGATTCAAATTATTTGGTGCAGCTTGCTTTTAGCCTTAAAAACTTGTCTTATATGGGTCTGACAGTAAGAAATTTGCCTGGTTTTTGTTTATCTGGGAATGTATTTTGCATTCATTTTTGAAAGATAGTTTTGCTGGATATAAGTTTCTCGGTGGACAGTTTTTTTTCTTTCAGCACTTTGAATATATCATCCTACTGCCTTTTGATCTCTATTGTTGATTAGAAGTCAGCCATCAATATTGTCAGGGTCCCCTTGTATATGCTTTTCTCTTGTGACTTTCATGATTTTTTGTCTGTTTTTGTCTTACCACATTTTTGGTAAAAGTGTCTTAGTATAGATTTCTTTATGTTTATCTTAATTGGAGCTTGTTCATATGCTTGAATTAGTAGACTGGTAGTTTTCATCAAATTTGGGATGTTTTCAGTCATTATTTCTTTGAATATTTTTCTACTCCTTTTTCTCTCATCTTCTGATACTCTCATTACGTGTATTTTGACACACTTAATGGTACCCTACACTTCTCTGAAGCTGTTAATTTTTCTTTGTTATTTTTTCACTTTTTCTTCAGATTGTATACTCTTTAATGATGTCTTTAAGTTCAGATTATTTCTTCTGCTAGCTGAAAACAACTATCGAGCCCTTCTGAATTTTCTCATTTCAGTAATTGTATTCTTGAACTCCATAATTTCTATTTTTTAAAATAAATTGTTTTTATTGATATTCTTCACTTTGTGAGACACTATTATCAGATCTTCCTTTTTAAAAATTTTATTTCCTTTAGTTATTTGAACACATACATAATAGTTGCTTTGATGTTTTTGTCTGCTAAGTCCAACATCTGGGACCCCAAAAGGCAGTTTCTATTGTCTACTTTTTTTTTGTCTCCTTTTTATGGATAACACTTATCTATTACTTGGCATATCTAGTATTTTGCTGCTGTTGCTGAAAATGGACACTTGAGATAATATAGTGTAGCAAATCTAGATAATTCCCTCCCCTTCCTGGGGCTTGTCATTATTTATTTCATGACTTGACTGAACTAGTACAATGAAGTCTCTTCCCTTGCAGTATGCAGCCTCTGATGTTCTTCAGAGGGTGCAGCCTTGAGTATGCAAACAATCTCCTCCATAACTACAGATGACTGTAGTTTTAGTCAGGGTGTCTCTGGCTGTTACCTTTCCTGATCTCCCCATTAAGTTTCTGGCTGTTCTGCCTCTACTGATATCCAGCTGTTAGCCACCACTAATTGCCAGCTGTTTGCTCCACTGTTTCTGATAATACCCTTGGGCATAAATTGCTCCAGAGACTGACTGATCTAAATAATGTTGGGCCCCTTTGAAATGTTGTCAGTCTTTAAGTTTTGCTCTGACTGCAGGAGGTCTCTTTTTAACTATCTCTTTCCCTTGTTTTCTTTGTTTAACATCTAGGTGACCCACTGTTTTGCTTTTTGCTACCAGTATCATGGAGCTACCAGTCCCCTCTTAATCACTCATCACCAGGATCTTCATTGTTGTTGTTGCTGTTGTTGTTTTTACAATGAAGTTAGGTATGAACTTCTACATACTCTGTTCCAAGCAGTGATGTGGAAGAGCTGCAGAGCTTTCTGCTCCTAAGGTCTGAGTTGAAACTCTGTACCACGGTACTGAGGCTGAGGGTGGACCTGAAATTAGCTTCTCCTGGAAAGGCTTCTCTGTATCTGAGAATGGGGATCTGGAAAGGGAAGTAACCCCTAGTCTTCTAGGCTTGTCTATTCTGGTATGTAGCTTTGCTCCCTATGAGAGGTAGGGTGGTGGCAATCAGAGCCCAGTATTCTCAGCCCACCATGTCTGAGGTAGAGCTTTTATCCTATGAGTTGAGGTTAAGTGTGAAAAGGGAGCCCCAGTCATCTTAGCTGTGCCTGCCTAGAAAAAAGCTTTTGCAACATGGGGCTGGGGGAGATGAGAGATGACTACCTCTTGCCCCTTCTGGGGTAAAACTGTTGCCCTAGAATAAGAACTGCAGGGGCCAGCTATACTCACTCAGAATAGAACTTCTGTCACACTGAGTTAAGGTGGCAAAATGCTGGAGAGTGATCATGTGAGCAGGTCATGGTTTAAATGAAAGACTCTCATATTGTTCTTAGATTTAGTTGATCTTGAATATGTGTTGCCCTGCTTGCTGTATGTGCTTAGGACAATTTCTAGAGACTTTAAATGATTATTTCAAAAAAATTTTACCAGTTAAATGTGTTTCACTGGGGAGAGACTCTGCCATGCTCCTTACATAGCCATTTCAGAAGTCCCACCTCAAGATTAGATGTGTTCCACCTGAATATTTCATTTTATTTATTTATTTATTTTTGAGAAGGAGTCTCACTCTGTCGCCCAGGTTGGAGTGCAGCGGGCGATCTCCGCTCACTGCAAGCTCCGCCTCCCGGGTTCATGCCATTCTCCTGCCTCAGCCTCCCAAGTAGCTGGGATTGCAGGCGGCTGCCACAATGCCTGGCTAATTTTTTATATTTTTAGTAGAGATGAGGTTTCACCGTGTTAACCAGGATGGTCTCGATCTCCTGACCTCGTGATCCGCCCGCCTCGGCCTCCAAAAGTGCTGGGATTACACGTGTGGGCCACCGTACCCGGCCTGAATATTTTATCTTATAATTTCTATCAACTGTTTTTTTAAAGTTTTAGTGTGCTTTTTATAAGACACACAAAATTAGAACATACAAATGAAGATAAGGAGGGAAGATTTAAAATGAATGAGAGGACATCAAACTAATATGATGGTTTAGCAAAACTGAGTATTACTCTGATCACCCTGAGCTTCGTGGTATCTGAAGCATGGTGTTAACTGCTATCATTTATTCAGTGGCAGGCATGTATCAAGTGCTTTTCATATATTATGCTAAACTCTCCTAAGCACTCCACATGTTACACATGTTATATGATTTCCCTCCATATACATGAGGAAACTGATCCTTCAAGGTCACACACAGAAAGCAGAGAACTGGTATTGATTGGAATTCAGGTCTGTTCTACTCTAAGTCTGGATTCACTAAGCGCTCCATAAAAAGAAACATTTCAATTCATCTGCAGAACTATTTTTCAAGAATTAGATTCTATAAGAAGTGTAGTAATATTAAATAGGTAACACGGTATAATACATTTTATCAGAAATATATACTTTTGCAAGGGCATTCCACTTGATTTGCTGACAGGAAAAAAATTAACTAGTTATTGAGAATAGCTACACTGGAATTGCATAAATGTGTTACCAGCACACGTGTCATAAGCTAAAGTTTTAGTTTTGCGTTTTGATTTGGTTACCTTCGAGAAGATCATCCTCATCGATGCCTTTGACAATCTTTGATTTGTAGTCTCGGATAAACATGTATTTTAGCAATCTTCTAAGTTTTTTCTATTAAAAATATAAAATAAATAAATAAGAAAACCTATACATATATTCATTTACTGATTAAAGACTACTATAACAAAATTTAATAAACTCGTACCTCATGATATCAGAGAAAATAAAGTAATCCTTAGCATACTGCTATGACATAAAAAGGTAGTCATCAAACACAAAGGCTAAAATACAAGTCTTTTCAAAAGCATTTTTCATTTACAAATATCCGGATGTTCCAGAATCACAATAGTCACACACTGCTTACTGATGGGGATCAAGAAATGCATCCTCACAAGACTTCATCGTTTTGTGAACATCACAGAATACACTTACACAAACCTAGATGGAACAGTCTAATGTACACCTAGGCTACATGGTACGGCCTATTGTTCATGGGCTACAAACCTGTATGCAAGGGTAAGAAAATGGTAAGTATTTGTATATCTCAATATAGAAAAATTAGTTAAAATACCATGTAAATGACAAAAAGCGATACATCTGTAGAGTGCATATACCATGAATGAAGCTTGCAGGATCTGAAGTTGCTCTGGTTGAGTCCATGAATGAGTGGCAAGTGAATTTGAGGGCCTAGGACATTACTGCATGCTATTGCAGACTTTATTTTTTAAAAAAGCTGTACACTTAGGCTACACTATATTTAAAATTTTTCTTTCTTCAATAATAAATGTGCCTTAGCTTCCTTACTGTAACTATTTTACCTTATAGACTTAATTTAAAAAATTTGACTCTTATAGTAATACTTAGCTTAAAACACAAACACCTTCTACAATTGTACAAAAACATTTTTCCTTTATATCCTTTTTCTATAAACTTTTTTCTACTTTTAAATTTCTTTTAGCTTTTTAAACTTCTTTGTTAAAAACTAAGATGTGTGTGTATGTACACACACACACACACACACACACACACTAGCCTAGGCCTACAAAGGGTCAGGATTGTCAATATCACTGTCTTCTACCTCCACATCTTGTCCCACTGAAAGGTCTTCAAGGGCAGTAGCATGCATGGAACTGTCAGTTCCTTTGATAACTGCTTTTTTATTGGAATATCTCATGAAGGAACAACCTCAGGTGGTTTACAGTTAAGTGTTTTTTGCAAGTAGTACACTCTAAAATAATGATGAAGAGTATTATAAATACATAAACAAGTAACAGTCATTTATTATCTTTATCAAGTATTATGTACTATACATAATTTTATGTGCTAGGCTTTTATACCATCAGTAGTGTAGCAGGTATATACCAGCACCACCGCAAAGTTGAATCATGCATTGCACTACAATGTTATTATGATACCTATGACATCACTAGATAATTGGAATTGTTCAGCTCCATTATAATCTTATGGGACTACTGCTGTATTTGCAGCACATTGTTGAAAAAAAGTTCATCATGTGGTACCTGACTGTAATTGCTTTTTTTTTTTTTTTTTTTTTGAGACGGAGTCTTGCTCTGCCGCCCAGGCTGGAGTGCGATGGTGCCATCTTGGCTCACTGCAAGCTCGGCCTCCCGGGTTCATGCCATTCTCCTGTCTCACCCTCCCGAGCAGCTGGGACTACAGGCACCCGCCACCATGCCCGGCTAATTTTTTGTATTTTTTTTTTAGTAGAGACAGGGTTTCACCATGTTAGCCAGGATGGTCTTGATCTCCTGACCTCATGATCTGCCCACGTCAGCCTCCCAAAGTGCTGGGATTACAGGCGTGAGCCACCAAACCCGACTTGCTTTTTAAAATCTTATAAAAAGTTTTAGGCTGTGTGTGGTGGCTCACACCTGAATTTCAGCACTTTGGGAGACTGAGGCAGGTAAGTCATGAGGTCAGGAGATGCAGACCATCTTGGCCAACATGGTGAAACCCTGTCTCTACTAAAAATACAAAAATTAGCTGCATAGTGGCACGCGCCTGTAGCCCCAGCTACTCGGAGGCTGAGGCAGGAGAAACTCTTGAATCTGAGAGGCGGAGGTTGCAGTGAGCCGAGATGGTTCCACGGCACTCTAGCCTGGCGACAAAGCAAGACTCCGTCTCAAAAAAAAAATAAATAAATAAATAAAATAAACGAAGTTCTAATTTTTTTTGAAGACTGTATTATCAGTTTTCATACCAAGCTGACTGTACTTATGCTATAGAAGTTGGTGTATACTCAAGATGAAATTTTATTTTAAAAAATTAACTTATAAATACCTAGACAGTGAGTGTATAAAAGCTGCTTTAAAAGTCAATAAATTCCTTTTTACTTTTTTTTATTCTCTGAGAATCTTATCTTTTTGTTAGAAGATTTGGTTTATGTATTATATTTATGGAAAACAATCTGTAAACCCGAAAAACGTAGTTTTATGAAATTCAAAGCTGATGAATGATAGGTGTTAATGGTGGCCTTCTTTAGATTTAGTAGACCATAATACTGTTTAATTTTAAAAGTAACTGATAATCCTTTGTAGCTTGTTGTATGCTTACACTTAGAATGTATTATCACTCGTTCCTGACCTTCAGGTCTAAGATTTCTATTAATAGCTGAAAAATACTGCATTTTACAAAATTCTTTACATGCACATCATTTGATATCTTCGATACTTTCTTTGCATCTGGTGCCTTGTACCTAAGACTGCCTCACCCTAGGCAGAAACTTTCACTTCAAAAAATCCTACAGTCTCTCCATCTAATCATACAACCCTGACATTTCATGAGTCTTAAAATGCTTCTTCAACTAAATCATAAAGATACCCTATACCAAATCATAATTTTCTTTTTTTTTTTTTTTTTTGAGACGGGAGTCTCGCTCTGTCGCCCAGGCTGGAGTGCTGTGGCCGGATCTCAGCTCACTGCAAGCTCCGCCTCCCAGGTTCCCGCCATTCTCCTGCCTCAGCCTCCCTAGTAGCTGGGACTACAGGCGCCCGCCACCTCGCCCGGCTAGTTTTTTGTATTTTTTAGTAGAGACGGGGTTTCACCATGTTAGCCAGGATGGTCTCGATCTCCTGACCTCGTGATCCACCCGTCTCGGCCTCCCAAAGTGCTGGGATTACAGGCTTGAGCCACCGCGCCCGGCCCATAATTTTCTTAATAGTGAAGATTTTCCATTTTTTAATATTCTTCATATCATCTAAGAGTTGATTAACTGAAATGTAAAATATTAGAGAATATTTTTGACTACCTATTTTTCATGAGAAAATAATTATGACAAAATTAGATACACAAATATCAGCTTAAATATTTTAATACCAGATTTCAAAGAGTAAGAAAGGTAGGTCTTTGTTCAAAAACAGAAATTGTGGTATATATTTATCCCATTGAAAATTAATCTTAATTAATTTGCTTTTTTCAATAAGGTAGAGCTACAGACTAAACTTTGTATTTCAGGCTTAAAAATTTACTCTAGGAAAGTCTATAATCCTGGTAATGTTAATCTGTAAGAAGAGGAGAAAAATAAATATGCCATTCAGTTATATCCCACTTATGACAACAGAACGTAGAGTCAATATTTAGTGAGTGTCATGTAGCAATGAAAGTGTCTATACAGATACATAAGGATAAGTGAGGTTTCGCTGTTCGCACAGTTTTCATATAAGTGCTTTTGTCCACATAATTAATATCAATTCTTTTGTAAACTCATTTTGTTGTGGAAACTATGAAGACTAAAACATCAGTTCAATAGTTGTTATTTTAATTTGAAAGTTATATAACAAGGATATATAGTTTCCACATACAAGTTCAATTAAACACAACATCTGCATTTTAATACAATAAAATTATGTTATATTACCTTATCTTTGCGCATCAAAAACAGAAGATCTTCAGGAGTGATTACCCTTGCTCCCCGCAGTTGAGAAACTTCAGCAGCTTGCTGTAACTAACAATAATGAAAATTCAGACATTTTTCTCAGTAATATAAATTATATATAGTACAGTCATGATGTCTCTAGAGAGATAAATATACTGAGTTAAAAACCTTTGGGAATAATCCAGCAATCACATTACTGCTTTTAAGAGCAAAATGTCTTATGTTTTTAAGATATAAAACATGCAATTAAATTATGAGCCCACCTGTAACCAATACAATAAACAGAAATCTTTTATTTCTTTCATGCAAGAGAAAAATCATACACAGCTTCCAGAAATGCATTAATGCACCTGAAAATAATTTCATGAAATTTTATCCTTCATACTCATGTGAGCAATGGTTTCACTCAGTATCACTAGTTGAATAAGTATATTATTAATCTGAGCTCCCATGCTGCTCTGATTTGAAATAGGCCCATTCAGAACTTTAAAAGATCAACAAAAACAGTAGCTGTTTCTAATATCCAAAGGAAAAAAAATACGTTTAGTTTTGGCAAGTCTTCAGTGGGTAAAGGATTCAGTCCATAAATCATAATACTGGACTGCATTAATTTCTTTCCATACTAATCACATGCACACAAAAAGTTAACTGTATCTGGAATGTACAACACAAAACATTACTGCATGAAAAGTTAGATTACCCCTGAAATGTTCATCTAGCCCCTTATATCTACAAAGTCAAGAATTTTCAGGAATTCATAAGTCCTAGAAACACAATCTTACTTAAAAATGACCTGGAAAATAAAAGAATGTGAAAGATGATAGTTCTATTTTTTGGCACAGGCAAATTCAATTTCTTATTTTGATTAGTTGGAAGTAACATAAAATATGCCCATCTGAAAAAAATAAAGATGCTACAGAAAACACTATAAAAATGTGTCTGTAACTTCTTCCAAATTTGATCAAATCATACTGATTGCACCAAACCAAGTCTATACAATATGAAATATTATAAAAATATTTACATATAAAAGCTGTTCCTGAATGCATACTTCTTTTAAAGGATAAACCTAACACATATTCTTGAGAACTAATCTTTAAAAATGGACACATTGTTATCTTAACAAATATATGAAATCGAATAGCACATTTGTGCTAAAGAAATTCTGCTTGAATGTTTAATCCATTTTGCTAAGTAAGCTTCAAACCTTCTCTAAATACACAGACTACAAAATAGACTATAAACTTGCTATGTGTCAGCTTTACCACTGAATTTCCTGGATACTGTGGTTGGTATATAAACACAATCCTATCTAAATATAGAAATTTAAATTTAACCGTGAACCATTTAAAAAGAAATGTTGGTGGGGGGAAGGTTTTTAAAAAGATGATGTTATCTACTCAGAAACTAACAGTTTTCAGCAAGCATGAACATATTTTTCCTAAAAATTGGAAGTGTGAGGGAAATATATGTACACATGCTTTTCAAATAAAAACATTTCTATCACAGTCTAAAATACAGGTAATCAGTGTTGAGAAGAATATGGGCTATATATACATTTGTCTGGAAGCATACAAAGTACATTTATTTTCTTAAATGAAGAATGTTGATCATTTGAAATCTGAAAAACATTATACAGACATATGTAATTTTACACACATTAAGAAAGGATCAGGAGAAATATGTATCCCTAAATAGTTTTCCCAATTAATCAACAGTTTATGCATACTACATATAAATAATCTCTATTCATAATATTCTCCAAAGTATCAGTTTACAAACATATTAACCAGGATAAGTATGAAAATAGAAAATAAAGACACAGAAGAGTTTGACACTTAGAATCACTGTTTTTTTTTTTTTTTTTTTCAGAACCAATACACGACCACTGTAAGGATCTGGAATTTATATCATGGTTGTGCTGTCATATGTAGCAGGAAAAGCTTATCTTTGTTTTTTGTTTACCTGATTTTCTAATTTATCTCAACCAACATAATATCCTTACTAGGACTAGTATTGCTACCACTCCCTAGTCTACCTTGGACCTCTGCCTAGTTAGTATGTCTCTGGAACTGAAAGTATCACTACGTTACCTTACCAAGGCCTGCCTATCCTGGATGTGTCCCAAATCCCAAAATTACCTCTCCCAAACTTTGACCTCCTCTTCTCTACCAAGTGAAGACAGCAATCTTATTAGCTAATTAAAGTGACTCATACAAAAGTCATCTACTATCCCCATACCAAAATACTCAAGTCCTGCACTCAGTCCTATGGAACCTGTGTATCCAAAAATTCAGCCCTCCTTATAGAGGAGTTTCACACCTCAGGAATACTATTTTCCATCCATGTTTGGTTGAAAAAAATCCGCATATAAGTGGGCCCATACAGTTCAAGTTCAAGTTGGTCAAGGGTCAACTGTGTTATTATGCATTGGTTTACTTCTCCTAAAAATTTTTGCCTACTACCAGAAAGACTAAAGAAAGTTTTCTTTAACAACACAAACTTTAAAAACAGGTGAGCATTAAAAAGTGGGTAAAGGACAAGAAGAGATACTTTTCCAAAGACGACATAGATGTGGCCAACAAGTATACGAAAAAAAAGCTCAGTAACACTGATCATTAGAGAAATGCAAATCAAAAGCACAATGAGATACCATCTTACAGCAGTCAGAATGGCTATTACTAAAAAGTCAAAAAAATAACAGATACTGGCAAGGTTGTGGAGAAAAGGGAACACTTATACACTGTTAATGGGGGTGTAAATTAGTTCAACCACTGTGGAAAGCAGTCTGGCCATTCCTCAGAGCTAAAAGTAGAACTACCATTGGACCCAGCAATCCCATTACTGGGTATATACCCCAGGGGTTATAAATCATCCTACCATAGACACATGGACACAAATGTTCACTGCAGTACTATTCACAATAGCAAAGACATGGAATCAACTTAAATGCCCATCAATGACAGATGAAAGAAAATGTGGTACATATACATCATGGAATATTATGCAACCGTGAAAAAGAATGAGATCATGTCTTTTCTGGGAACATGGATGGAGTCGGAGGGTAACTAATGAGGAAACAGAAAACCAAATACTGCATGTTCTCACTTATAAGTGGGAGCTAAATGATGAGAACTTATGAACACAAGAAAGGAAACAGACACTGGGGCCTACTTGAGGGTGGAAGGTGGGAGGAAGGAGAGGAGCAGAAAAGAAAACTCTTGGGTAGTGGGCTTAATTCTTGGGTGATGAAATAATCTGTGTAACAAACCCCTGTGACATGAGTTTACCTAGGTAACAAACCTTCACACATATCCCTGAACCTAAAATAAAAGTTAAAACAAAACAAAAAATAGGTGAGCAACTGGGCGGGCAGTCCAATTCCACAGGTGCATTTAATGTGAAAACAACAGTAGAACTGGGAAACCAATATCACAAATTTTCCTCAAACCTTCAGTATTAACAGCAGTTCAGTTATAGCATCTCTTTTTTTCTGATTAATATTACTTCTATTTGTCAAAGTAAACAAAATATAATATTAACTTGTAACAACTTTGTTAGTAAAACATTCCCTAAAATATTAACACTCATGTTTACATTTTAAGTATAATACTTTATCAGGAGGTTGAGAATTAAAAGGTACACTATTACATGTCACCTCAAATATAACATCTTTGACCCTATAAATAAATCTGTTCTCAATTTCACATTGCTATCCATGACATTCATTTTTTTTCTCACTGCATTATATTTTCACCAATTTCTGTTTATTTTGTTGTTTCTTTTTATCTTCTCAGGGTCTTGAATGTGCTATTTCCACCATATTTGTTATACTATAATCTCCCTTAAATATAATGTCTGAATTTTTGCTCTGAGATTTATGATAATTCCCTATTATCTAAAATCAATGTGGTCTTTAAAGCTTGAACGATGCACATATTTTCCCTGCCTTTCCACTAATTATATTTCTTGCTTCTCTCTCATATAATTCTACATTTAGGCTCCAATAATTTTGGTTCTTTTTTACCTTTGTGTACTTGTGATGGTTAACTTTGTGTGTCAATTTCACTGGACCATGGGGTACCTAGACATCTGGTCAAGCATTATTCTGGGAGTGACTATGAGGGTGTTTCTGGATGAGATTAACATTTCAATCAGTAGACTGAGTAGCAGACTGTCCTCCTTAATGTGGGTGGGCCCCATCCAATCAGTTAAAGACATGGATAGAACAGAAAAGGCTGAGTAAGAGGAAGCAACTTCTGTCTGAATGCATAACCTGGGACCCTGGGCCTTTTTTGGCCTTTGGTCTCAGACTGAAACATCCATTTTTCTTGTGTTCTGAAGCTGCTGACTTTCATACTGGAAATACACATCTACACATTGGCTTTCCTGGGTCCCCAGCTTGCCAAATGAAGATTTTGGGAATCCTCAGACTCCATAACTGCATAATTATAATTTATTATCCTTATAATAATACATAAATCTCTCTCACACACACAGGCATGCACACTCACACATACTGTTGAACTCTAATATAGTACTATTTTCAATTTTTGAGAAAATCTTGATTCTTTATAAGATGTGGCACTTTTTCTTTAAAATACAAGCTTTAGCCGGGTGTGGTGGCTCAAGCCTGTAATCCCAGCACTTTGGGAGGCCGAGGCGGGTGGATCACGAGGTCAGGAGATCAGGACCATCCTGGCTAACACGGTGAAACCCCGTCTCTACTAAAAAATACAAAAAAACTAGCCGGGCGAGGTGGCGGGCGCCTGTAGTCCCAGCTACTCGGGAGGCTGAGGCAGGAGAATGGCATAAACCCGGGAGGCAGAGCTTGCAGTGAGCTGAGATCTGGCCACTGAACTCCAGCCTGAGCGACAGAGCGAGACTCCGTTTCAAAAAAAAAAAAAAAAACAAAAAACAACAACAACAAAAAAAACATGCTTTAAAATAATTTTGTCAGAAAAATAAGACCTATGATTATTTTCACACAACAGTGTTTCTCATCTAACATAGATAGAAGACTTAAATGCACAGTTTATATCTTAATTGCACTCGTTATCAAGTTTCAT